CCTACCTACCTACCTACACACCCACCCACTTTCTTGCGCACTCACTGACTTGCGTACTCTTTTGCAAACATCATTTGCTCCACTCATCATTGAGGCTTTCGATTGCCTGAGTCTTGCTTCGCTTAGGCGTCCTTGCAGTACCCGGAGCTCTACCGAGCAGGGCAACAGAGACTCTACATGAGCCACGGATGAAGATGCGCTTAGGGGACTTCGGAGTTTAGATGGGGAGGGTCGGTTGTCTGGGCTGTATGGTTTTGGAAGTTGAGACTGGAACCTGGGAATCGAAAGGTGTGCAGTATCGGGTCGTCTAGTCCCGCAGGCATTTGCTTCTGCTCTTCACTGCTGTCACTTGGCCCCGAATCTCCCAAACCTTAAACCCGGATCCTTCATCCCCAAACCCTAAGCCTTCAAAGTGGGTTCAAAATAGCCGAAGCCTGGAGCTTGGAATCCAAGGCCCAAACGTCAGAAACGCACACGAAAGGCACCATCGCTGTCTAAAAGAGGCAAAACTGAACCCTGCGCGCGCCCGAAAGCCTGATCCCTAATTTTAAACCCTAAAACCCCGAAACCCGGAGCTGAACATTTTTGGCCGCTGCATCCCAAAACAATCAAGCCGCCGTTTGGCCTCGCATCCCAAAACAATCTAAGCCGCCTTTGGGCTCGGATTCGATGTCATGCTGCACGAGAACCCCTACCGTCACCCCAGTTGTCAGGGTTTCGGGGTTCAGGGTCTAGGGTTTTAGGGTCTAGGGTTTAGGGTTTAGGGTTTCGGGTAAGCACCAGAAGAATCCAAGGTATACCTTTGCCCTAGTTTGGTTCTCCAGTACCCCAATTTGGCTCTCTTGGGGTCGGCCCGAAACAGGCCGGTTCGCCAACACTCCAAGTCTAGGATTTTGGGACTCTTGTGGTTTAGTGTTTAGGGTTTTGCTGTACTCTGAAACTGAAGCCTTTACTTAGCCTTTTGTTTCTGTTTGGTGTTGGGAGAAGGAAGCAGGGTTGAACCTGAAGCATCTCGCATCCCAGGAACTACACCGTGTCATTGGGCTGGATTGCCAGCGGAGTTCCACGGATGCATTTGGGAGTTTCCGAAAATTAGGGTACCTCATTTTGGGGTCCTTATAATAAGGATTCTGCTATCTAGGGTACTATCTTAGGGGCCCCTAATTTCGGAAACCCCTATTTGGCTCGATCTGTGCAGGATCCACATTGAGCGCCCTTGTTCTGGACACTTGCAGGTCAACCTAAGGCGTACATGCCTCCATTGTCATAAACCCTATACCCTACACCCTGAACCCCTATACCCTAAACCCGAATTATCCGTAAACCTCAAACCCTAAAAATGCAAGCCTACCCTTCCGTCGCAAGTCCTAAATGCCCCAGAGCCTTCCCTCCTAGGCGCAAAAAATCGACAGTCGATCTAGCAACATGAGCAGGCCCCTCCTGCGTACTATTGAAAGTCTGAAGGGCCAAAGGCCTTTTCCGGGAAAGGAGTATCAGCAAGACTTCTCAAGGCTAGGAAACTAAGCAATTAAGCAATGATGGCAAAACCAACTACAGCAATGCATCAGGCATGAATAGTGTCAGCAGTAGCAGCGTAGTCATCGTCGTCGTAGCCCTAGTCCGTCGTGATAGTGGTGGCGGTGGTAGTGATAGGAGGAGAAGGAGGAGGAGCAGAAATCAGGAGTAGGAGAATCATCACAGTCATCGCCCCGCTCAGTTGCTCGTAACCCGATCCTCATAATGATGGTCTGCTTTCTGTCCTCAAACAGGCACTCATTTACAGAACCCAAACCCTAAACCCCAAACCCTAAACCCTAAACCCTTGCAGCTTTGAAGAGCCCCATTATTGGAGCCCCTCTTTCATCCCCTAGGCCCTAAACCCTAAACCCTAAACTCTAAACCCTAAACCCTAAACCCTAAACCCCCTAAACCCTCAACCTGCTTTCTGAAGAGCGTGAAGCCTGCGAACTGCTCAGGTTTGGCACGGGCTGGTGGTGTTTTTCGTCCCGTACATGGCCGTGGCCCCGGTTCCAACCCTACCCTCCGTTGCCCTGCGTCCTTACTAAAGGAATATACCTTCAATCATAATCAGACTAAGAGAATCGATTATGTTCATTATTATGTTAAATCACTATACTGTATATCTTAGCGCCAGTACTTTTGTGGAATTGGGCTAGCTGGGAATCGAAAGAAGCCCTTCCAGGCTTTGCGCAGTATCGGGCATGCAGCTGGCCTTGTCGAAAATGGCCTATATTTAGATGTTCGCATTTAGCTCAATTCTCCTTTAGTAAGCAGGGCTTTCACACGTAGAGGGGTTCTCAAGTCCCTTAGTAGAGGGATTCTCAAGTCCCTTAATGTATTAGGGCTTACGGTTTAGGCCTTTACTGGCTTATCGGGTATGGGGCTCTCTGAGTCTTGGGCTGAAGACTGACGTATTAAAACACCACACACACACACACACACACGCACACTAAACAACCCAATAAAACCTTGATGCAACCGTTACAAATACCATAAGCCCTATATCAAACCCTAAACCCACCTCTTACTGCCTGGCACTGTTAATCGCGGTCGGCATAGAGGATTCCAGGAGTTGTTGAAGATGTCTTTGATACTCAAATTCAAAGATGATGCATGCAATCGTTTTCTGCAGCTTGACGCCGTGTAAGGCAAAGTGCCATAATGCTTGGAAGCCCAGCTGACTTACTTAAGCAAGCTGGTTGAAACGAGGGTAGTAAACGCAATAAGTAGGATCATCCCCAACGAGGTTACTTCAGAACCACCTAACCCCTAAACCGCAACCCCTAGAAGGTCTATATACCTTCGAGAAGCCTTATAGAAGCCCTATATACCCTAAACTCCCCACCTGTACACAAACCCTAAACCTTAAACCCTAAACCCTGAACCTTAAGCCCGAAACCCCTAAACCAAAAACCCTAAACCCCCAAACTCCCCACCTGTAAATTTCCTTTAACTGAGGTCATGTCCAACGGTTTAGCCAGAGTTGCCCTAACCCTCCAGGTACCTACTGTACAGGATGCTAGAGCCCCTGGGGCCCTACAATGGTGGCTACCTGTTAGTTAAAACTGACCTTAAACCTTAAACCCTAAGCCCTGAGCCTTAAACCTTAAACCCTAAACCCTGAGTCTCCTTTAAGCTGAGGTCATGTCCAACGGTAACATCACGCACTCAGATGGCAAGGCAGGGAGTCCACAGAGTGCGGAGCGCAAGCCCGAATCCTCAAGTTAGGGCTTATAAGGCTTAGGGTTTAGGGCTTAGGGTTTAGGGTTTATTAGGGTTTAGGGTTTATTAGGGTTTAGGGTGTAGGGGGTTGGCAGACACTCTGAACTGTCACTCTTACTCTCTAAGCCATGCTTGAGCCCTAAGGGTTTAGGGTTTAGGGCGACCTAAGAGGGTGTCCTTGTTCTGAAAACTTAGTAACATGCAGAGCTCTCATCACAAAGGTAGGTTCTTATTTGTTCACAGGTAAACGTTGCTAAACTTCAAGCCCGCAGGGGTGCGGCACGGAAGGTCAGGGCGCAGTACTACAGCCCTTCATTATTATCATTATTATTATGACTGGTATTATTATTTACATTATGGTAGTTATTGTCAGAGACGGCCGTATAACAGCGATCCTACAAAATTAGGTATTCCTCTTGTCAGATGTTTGCGACCAGGACGTCCAGACACCTACCATGTTGGAAGTAGGTCAGTCACCTGAGCCATGACAAGGATGTATGAAGTGGTCCTCGAGACTCAGTACCAGTTGAATGATATCCATATTACAGACTCTTATTATTTGTTCCGATAAGCCCTAAACCCTAAACCTCTTATGACGATAGCCTTGCTGGGGGTTGCGTTGTTATGACTCTGCTTTTGCTCCGGATCTTGAGGTTGTAGATTTATGCTCCCAAATCATAATAGTACTTCCGAGTTTAGAAACTGAAACCCTACATTCTACTATATAGGTACATAGGACCCTTTGGGAAGGTTTTCTGGTGTGCTATTGAAGACCGGGCAACCAGGATCCTGCGCTGTGGTACGATGTTTGTGGGGGTGACTGCCCTTTTTTTTGGCTCGGAACTCAACCCTAAACCCTAAACCCAGGACCTTAACCTGTGATAACACTAAGGTAACCCCAAAAACCGAGGAGCTGTAAGGTAGACCCGGATGAGAACACGAAGGTAAAGTGAGGAGTTGTAAGGCAGACAACGGGCCTTTCTTCCCAACTCGATGCTTTCGATCGTTCTCGGAAGCATGAGGAGCTTGCATGCGTTGTGCGTTGCAGCTCCCCAGCTTGCCTGGATCCCAAATGATATAGGGGCCTTAACAATTATTACCTCTATCATCTGGGGGGTTCCTTATTATAAGTATAGTATAATGAGCCCCAAAACCCTATTCCAATTATTATGGCCCCTACATTGACCTACTTTTTATTTTGGAGAACCCCAGAAAAGAAGGAAGTGATAAGGGTTCAGGTAGACTCAGGTAGACCTTACCCCAGGCCCCAGACCTTGCCTTGCAAAGCAAGCAGCAAGAGGCCACCCCGCCCTAAACCCTAAATCCACCAAAGGCCAACGACATTTGGCTCGTGGGCTCCGTCGTGTTCTTCCTTGTGCCTTGGTAGCCTTTGCATTGAGGATGTGCGGTTTAGGATTTAGGAGGCTAAAGTAAGACCCAATACTGTTTTGGGGCTCCTTATTATGATTCGAGTCTAACATAAACCAAAACCCTATTCCTAATTATGACGGCCCCTGCGTCAGGCCATGTTTTGGCATTGAGTGTTCAAGGTGTCAGGTTCTGGGTTGAAGTTGCAAATGGGTAGTTTTCTAAATTAGGGTCCCTTTTTAGGTCCCCAATATAGTACGGCACCCTTACAAAAAAAGGACCCCCAAAGGAACCCTAATTTGGAGAACTACCCAAATCCATGTTGCGGGTACAGTGCCCGACGACTTGGATTTGTGGCTCTCATCACACTACATTCTAAAGCCAAAAGCCTAATATAGTGTCCCGGGGCAGTCTCTCTATAGAGCTACATCAAACGAATATAACCCAGGAACGTTATTCTAATTATTAATAGTTAGGGACCCTACATTCAAACCCAAGACCGAAATCCCAAGTCTTGCACCTGGCCCTGAACCCTACCCTCAATCCTGGGCTTAGTTCCCCTATTGTTACACCTGCCGAATCGAAAGCTCGCATCAACCCAAAACGTCAAGGTGTGCTTGGTGACCAACCTGACTGTCGTGCTCGAGCCACCCATCTGGCGAGCAGTCCTTCTATCCCTAAGGGGAGGGTTTAGGGTTTAGGGGTTTAGGGTTTAGGGGTTTAGGGTCTAGGGTTTCGTACTCATTAGTGTAGGACTTGGGGTCGTTTTCCGGTGCCATCAACGGCGAAAACCATGAAGGAAGGACTCCTTGGACCCTGAGGGTATGGTGTCGGGTTGTTGGGCATTGCGGTTCGGAGCGTTCTCGCAGAAAAGATAGAACCCCGGTTTAGGGTTTAGGGTTTAGAACCCTAAATCGTCCACTAAAACCCTTAGAGCCCTATCCCTAAACCCTAAACCCTAAATCGTCAACTGAGCCTGCCGGCCCCGATACCAAAGCTCAACTAGTCGTAGCTTGAAGCCCGAAATGATCCTCAGGCACTAAACCCCTTGCACGCGCTTAGGGGCGTCAGGATGCGTGTCTTGGGAAACCCCTGGAGCCACAGAACCATCATCCATGAATTCTACAGCTGTAGGTAGTTCTTGTGCCCCTCCTACAAGTAGCACTACAAATGATATGGAAGCTGGAGTCATGACCGATACTATCTCTTAGGGTTCCTATCCAGAACAGTCTGATTTACGCCGCAACCTCCCCTAAACCCTAAATCCTAAACCCTAAACCCGCCCCAGCCTTGTTCAAATCCAAGTCCCAAGGCGCCTCTATGATTTCTCCCACGGAATTTCTCAGCATCAAGGGCCCCTGTTTAGGGGTGCAACAAGGATCCTTGTGCTTAGGATTCGAACTGAGGTTCCCTGGCGCGAAACCCGGATTCTTTTTGCAGTTTGGAGGAGTAGCGGAGTCCTTATAGGTTTCCTCATTCTACTTGTTTTATAATGTTACTAGAGCCTTGCAGCCTTATCAGTCTCTGTTGTACCCCAGATCGTCAACCGCAAACCCCCAAGCCCGGAGCACAAGCCCATAACCCTCAAACCCGAGCTGCTGTAGGTTATCACTAGATACGGTGAAAGGCCACATTTGTACTGAGGATGATCCTTGTTATGACGTTACGGGCAAACCTACACCCTAAACTCTAAACCCAAAACCAGCAACCCTGCTCGCCAAGTCTTGTGAGCCTTCAAGTAGAGTAAGTAGAGCTCAGGGATTTCGGGTATTAGGTTTGGGCTTTGCAGATTGGCTTGGGGCTATGGGCAGCTGTTGGCATCTTGGTTGAGGGATCTACATACCCTAAACCCTAAAGCGCTCGAGTCATTGGAGTCTGATCTCATGGTCCCGCTCCTGGAAGCCCCTACACACAGCAGATTCCAAGGACCTGCTACCTCAACTGGCCGCCTAGCTGCAAGCGACGGGTATGATTGCCTTGCAGCACGGTCTTTGCCCTAGGCCCTGACTTGGGTGGTTAAATCCTGTCTCTCATTTTTAGGGTTTAGGGCTTTGGGCTTTTAGTGTATGGGGTTTCAGGTAAGGTTCTGGCAGTAAGAATGGGGAAAGACGACGGAAGGTTCGGTTCTCCAAGCGGTTACCCGGTGTTGCAACGAGCTACAACAGTGTCAAGCTCCCAACTTCAACCTCCCCCCGGGGACATGCTCGGGTACACCGCACACCCGAAACACGCCATCCAAAGTTCCGCTGCGCACACCCTAACCCTCCAGGTGCCTACCATAAAGGGCCCTAGGGGCTCTAGTACCCTCTATAGTAGGTACCTGGAGGGTTGGGGACAGTCTAAAGCAATTGGAGCCATGAACCGTTTTCAGTTTACGATTTAGGGTTTGGGTTTCGTGGGCCTTTCGGCCCTAAACCCCCACAACCAAGCCCAGACGTTGGCGAGGGGTTGACGGCTCAGGAAAACAACCAAAACACACAGCATGTGCCAATGTAGCCCTGATCCCTAAACCCCTAAA